GCAAAGAAAACAAACAAACACAAAATTTAGATAAGGGAGATGAAAGAAAGATCCTGTCTCGACAGGCAACCCAAAATTAACAGCCAGACATGTGAGGAGTGAATACAGTCTTAACTGATATTTCAGTAGATACGATATTACGAACAAAACTTGAATAGGTAGAGAGCAGCAAAAAATAATATAAACTAAAAAATCGTTTCAATCGTTATCTTCTGTCTTGTTAATTCTTATTCTTTTAATGTCTTCTCTCCTTAATAGTATTTTTTCTCATATTCTCTAACGTTCAGTAACCGCTTGAGTTATTTCTTTCCTTGCTTGTGTTAAATGATTACCAAAAAAGTAAAAAGATTGAAGTGGTAAATAAAATATCTAACATGAGCCATCCTGGGTATGAAAATAAACTACGTCCGTGTCTTGGGTAAGACGATAAACTACATCCAACAGCAAGGCCTCTGATCAGGAGGTTTTGAGGAGCATGGAACCACCTTTTAATTGCTGGTGTTCCCAGGTTCGCCATCGCCCAGAGTGGTAGCACCTGTCAGGGTCCCAGCTGTGAGCAAATAATTAACCACACCAAAAGGGGTCAAAACACTATGAATGTGTAAAAATAGGTTTTAATATCAGCAATACATTTTGGAAGATTTTTTACCAGCAATACATTTTTGAAAAAAATTGTTACCAGCAATAAAACTTTGTTGGCATTAAATAACCCATTGAAATTGATATGCCGTAAAATAAAACAAACCAAACAAATCTAACACGAGATGCTGGAATGTGACAAGAAAGCAATTTTTATTGGTTAATGCAAAATAAATTGTTATTCTAATGTAAAGTAATATGTAAGAAGACCAGTGACAGAAAGATACAATGAAAGGTAGAAATACAAAAACTGAAAAGTTGGTGGTGGACACGTTTGATTTGGTTTGTTTTACGGCATATCAACCTCAATGGGTTATTTAATGTCGATAAGATTTTTTATTACGGATCATATTTTTTTTCTTTCTTTCTTTCTTTCTTTCTTTCTTTCTTTCTTTCTTTCTATCTATCTATCTATCTCAGTATATATCGGTTTGGTTTGTTTTATGGTATATCAACCTCAATGGGTTATTTAATGCCGACAAGATTTTTATTGCGTCCATATTTTCTATCTATCTATCTATCTATCTATCTATCTATCTATCTATCTATCTATCTATCTCAGTATATATTGGTTTGTTTTGTTTTACGGCATATCAACCTCAATGGGTTATTTAATGCCGACAAATTTTTTATTACTGGTAATATTTTTTCTTCAAAAATGTATAGCTGGTAATACCTTTTTTTAAAAAAAATGTATTGCTGGTAATAAATTTTGTTTTTACAAAGTATTTCTGGTATTAAAACCTGTTTTTACACTTTCATAATGTTTTCAACAAGGGTTGGTGGGGTAACTATTTGCGCATAGTTGGGACACTACCACCTAGGATCAGGGTGGACCTGGGAATATCATCAATTAAGAGGTTGTTCCACACTCCTCAAACCTCCTGATCAGAGACCTTGCTGTTGGACGTAGTTTATCGTCTTACCCAGGACGGTGTTGGACACGTAATGGTTTGCGTTTGCAACAAAAAATGATGGGAGAAGAATATTGGTGAAAGTCGATCGAAGCCAAAATAGTGAAAACTACATTAGCTTATTTCGGTCTAATCTTCTGCCAGACGAAGAAGATAAAAGGATCTTTCATCATGGCAGTAATTCTTTCCACATGTCACGTGTAATACAAAAAACCCAAAGATTTCTCGTAGATGATGTTCAACATTTGAATTGAGGCTATTACTCGAACCAAACACAGCAGCACTCCATACTTTGATATTTGGCATTATCTTTAATATTAAAGATGATTTTTTTTATATATATATATATATATATATATATATATATATATATATATATATATATATATATATATATATATATATATATATATATATATATATATATATATAAACTTTGTTATATAGGAATAAAGTGTTGCTGTCGACCCTGTGTTTGAAAAGAGATCGTCAGTGAACAGACAGGCGATCTCAGTATTGAACTAAGTAGATCACGTGACCATAGAGTAAACGCATATATAGAGGAAGTCGCGTGACGTCTTATGTGTTCGCTTTCTCCTCTATCTTCTATTACTATTGAGACCGCTATTCCCTACTCTATTCAATATACGAAGTACTATTAGTACGAGTATTATTCCAGACGTCTGACACCAGTATTGTTCAACGGCGTATTATAATTGATATCTGCGATTACAAAATGTCCTACTAAGTTGGTACTGGCGAATTATCAAGCAAGTGTACGTTGTCATCATAACAGTGGCAACAAGTGGTTCGTTTTGATGATAGAACAAACATATAACTGATAAGTGAAATTTTCATTGGTTGTTCCGTATCTTTGCATGACTTTTGTCAATATCACTTTGCTTAAGAGGTTCTATCCTCCATCATACAACATTAAGAAAAATGAAGTTGCTTGTTATTCTGGCTGTCAAATGTTCTAAATTATTATGAGAAAAGTATACTGATAATCAATCTCGATTTGGATTTGAGATTAACGAAAAGAAAGTGGCTCAAAATAAACAAAAGAAGGTGGCTTAAAAGTTTATATCTATGTAAACCAGTACTACCTGTTTCATAGTCGGATTATCAGCGACTAAAGCGGTGCCACAACAGAGTTTGTCCGTCAAGAGGGTGGCTAGTCGCCCTGCAGGATTAAATACAAATCCTGTCAAAAGGGTGAAGGAAGTTTTTGCTCAACAACCATCTAGCACAATTATCCTGGGAGTCTTGGACTCCACAGATTCTTTCCTAGCAATTGGCTAAGAGAAAGACACTCTATAAAACTTACGACCCGGAGACTTCACTGTCATCATCCCAGCTTACTAGGCCATGACAGATCGAATCCTGGGTGTAAAAGGTGGGGCCAGTTCAGCGTACACTGCACTTTACCTAAAACCTCCACTGCACAAGCCTGAGAGAGACGTTCGCGCCCACCAACAATTTCCTTTGTGTATGCCTGTCTCGCATTGAACTTATCAGTCACAAACGGCGCTGCAAGCGACGTGTACAGACTCCCATTTGATCTTCGTTTTGCAAAGCCAAGCCAAGATAATGATTGTTTAAAGTGGGAAAATTGAAATGACACTGCATGATGACAATCAGTTTTATACGTATTCTGATGAAGGAGAGAAACTGCCATTCACCAAGCCACGTTGATTTCTGTGTCTACAGATTATATCACTATTGATGGAGACAGATCGGTATAAACGAGGATTCAGGAATAAACTGAGATCGATTGAAACGGATAAATTGATTGACTAATCTCTGAAAAATGAATTACACCTCTGCTCGTGCACAGATTCATAATGGAGAGAGAATTGAAAAAAAAACGACCACAGATATGAACGGGCAAAAACAGGCAGATAGAAATTGATTGCGTTGATATGCACAAAATTCTCGTAAATATGTAAAGAGAAGTGATAGATGGGAAGAGACAGTGACAACCTGAGACGGCATATGAACTGAGTATAAATAGAAAAGAAAAAAATCGATGACCAATAGAATATTATAAAGTTATCTATGTACACAGTGAATCGAAAGAACATTCCCAGATATCGATTGATATACGAAACTTACAATTTAAAATATACATTGAAAGACAAGTACTGGATTTTAGAAAATAAATCATACACAAACGCACACACACACACACACACACACACACATATATATATATATATATATATATATATATGTATGTATGTATTTATGTATATATGAATAGAAACAATACAAATATATATATATATAAATAGAAACAATACATACATATAGATACATATATATATGTATGTATGTATATATGTATATATGAATAGAAATAATATATATATATATATGAATAGAAACAATACACACACACACACACACACATATATATATATATATATATATATATATATATATATATATATATATATATATATATATATATATATGCGTGTGTATGAATAGAAACAAAAGGCAAACTGGACCAAGCCGATGAGTTTCGTTCAAAGAGGGATTTATCAAGGATTTATATTGTGACAAGTATTTATATACAAGAACAAAAATATTATTGGTTTTTCAAAATGTTGGGTATGGGGTGCTCATGAATATTCATCAGGTTATATATATATATATATATATATATATATATATATATATATATATATATATATATATATTGGAAAAGCGCTCAGTCTTAGTGATAGAGCTAAGAAATATACTTGAACAGATATGATTTTGTGACCCTGGGTTTCACGAATTAAGCGTGATATCCAGGGTCACAAACTCCTATTCCTTCAATTAACCACACACACACACACACACACACACACACACATATATATATATATATATATATATATATATATATATATATATATATATGCATAGATAGATAGATAGATAGATAGATAGATAGATAGATAAGGAACAGACTGAGATAGATAGATAGATAGATAGATAGATAGATAGAGGAATAGATAGATAGATAGATAGATAGAGAGATAGATAGATAGATAGATAGATAGATAGATAGATAGATAGATATAGGTGCATCAATAATTAAGTAGAAAATGGGGAAAAATCCTTAATTGCACATAACATGTCAAATACATAATTTGTTCTTTGACAATGCACTTAATTCAGTGGTATATTCATAGATCAAAAATCAGATATCAACTTGGCACTGTTTCGGTATCATAAGCAGAATCTCCTTCCTAAATCTATAATAAATTAATGTTTTCGATTCTCACAAATGTTGTAGTCTAAGGAAGGTCTGAAAAATTACTTCCTTTAAAAGCTATCTCTATTTTTATGAGTGGACCAGTCTATTTAAGTAGTGTCAAACCTGTTTAGTGATCTTTCACAAGACCTGCTTAAATAAAAGGAAAAATGTTGCCAAAATATGTATTAGAGAGATAGCTACGAATACAATGAGAGAGATAGATAGATAGATAGATAGATAGATAGATAGATAGATAGATAGATAGAAAGAAAGAAAGAAACAAACAAACAAAAAACTGAAAGAAAAAAAAACAAAAAGAATGCAGAATAGATAATAGAAAGAAAAAAGAAAAAAAGAAAGAAAGAAACAAACAAACAAAAAAAAGTGCAGTGAATAGAAAGAAAAAAGAAATAAAGAAAGAAAGAAAAAATGGGGTGAATAGATAGAAAGAAAGAAAAAAGAAAGAAACTAACAAGCAAACAAAGAAATGCAATAAATATAAAGAAAGAAAAAGAAAGAAAGAAATGGAGTGAATAGATAGAAAGAAAGAAAGAAAGAAAGAAAGAAAGAAGCAAACGGACAAACAAGCAAACAAAGAAACTAACAAACAAAGAAATGCAGTGAATAGAAAGAAAGGAACAAACAAAAAGCAAAGAAACAAAGAAAGAAACAAAGAAAGAAAGGAAGAAAGAAAGGAAGAAAGAAATGGAGTGATCTAGATAAATAAATTTCTCACTCTGTATCTACTATCACAAGCGTAAACTTAAACCTTTATTCACCAGTTCTTAAAATTACAATCTCAAATGACATCTGTAAATTTAAATCTTTGCATAAATGTCGTCAACTTCGTAAGTTATATCCTTAGCAAAAGTAGACGATGGGCCGCCTCCGACAAATAATTCTGAAAGAAAAACGTAAGATAAAACCTTTTTTTCCCTTACATCACATAAACTTATATTAAGATGTAATACAATCTTGAAATAGAAATAAAAAATCTCTCCAAAAAATAAACTAGAAAAGAAATTGGAAAACAAGAAATTTATATTTGTGCCTCGAAACTCTCATTTTTAATGCCATATTATTTAAGGCGATCATGGCTCACCATATTTATTTATTATCTATGGATTCCCGTGACTTCTTCGAACAATGAGATGAGTGATTTCCTGTAGTATTCTCCACCTTTTCGGAGATAGTATTTGCCGTTATTCTAAAATGACTGCAGTTAACGGCAGATGGTTCAATCTAACCTGCTATAAGTTGTTCAGAAAATAATGTTCAACTTTAGAGATAACTTCCCTGAATTAATGTATTTAAACAGTGTTTAAATCAAGTTTGTTTATGCTTTATGTTAAAGCTAATGGTTCAAACGCCAGGAAATCTTTGAATGCAATTTCTGCATCTTTTCAAAGGAATATTTTGGCTTAAAAATTGCCAAGGTGATTGAAAAAGTGTTATTTAGTGAGCGACATATCAGGAGAATATGGCGGTTGTAGCAAAGTCTCGTATCCGGTGTGAGCTTCTGAAGTGTCATCCGGGCAACATGTGACCGATCATTTTGGGGAAACAGAATTGTAGCTCGTTGATTAAACTGTGCCAGTTGCATTTTGCTTAAGTGAATGTGCATTTCATCCCGTAACTAGTCGTGATACTCTGGTTAGATTCAACAAAGCTGTAATGGAAAACGCCAATAGTGGACCACCAGAAAGTCATCATAATATTTCGTTGGTGTAATTTCGGTTTTTTGAATCTGTTTGAATGTCCTTCGTCATGATCAAGCCATTGAGCCAATCGTTTATGATTGTCATATAGGATTAGTTTCTTGTCACAAGTCATCACTCAATCAAGAAATGGATCATTCGATTTTCGTAGATGCACCATCGAAGGCACTCCAAATCGCCGAAGTCGTTACTCTCCAATTTGCCAATTCTTTTGAGATTGTCTGATGTTCTTGAAATGTTGACATCTATTATCTTTCTTTCTTTCACTGAAATCCCGAGGTGTCTTTTCACTTCTTTCCACGAGATCAAAACGGAATTGTCCATTATTCATGAGATATTGCCAGGGCGTAATGGTCGTGTGAACTTAACGAAGGGAGGCACAAGCACTATTATAATAGATTACTATTACTACTACTACTACTACTAGTAGTAGTAGTAGTAGTAGTAAAGATGATGAGGTGTACCGGATTTGTTTGATTCCTCATAGCATTGCGTCAAGTCATTAGAACCAATAAACAAAATTTAGATAATAATATTCTACGGGATCTTGAATAAATTTGCAATTTTTTCTGTTGTTCCTTTTTCCAATAAATAAGCCATCAGACTTCGGATTCTTCTGGACGGTCTCCTGGTTTAAGTTAGGGAATACTGATATAATCCTTGCCTTCAGTTCATCTTTAGTATTGCAAGGAGTTTTGTTGGTCCCTCGCTCAACTGCACCCCACACAATAATGAAAGGGGTTGCAGGTCTGAGGAATTAGGTGGGCAGATGTAAGGTGTGATGTGGTCGCAGAAATTATCTGACAGCCATGACTAGGTACTTCTGCCCGTGGGGCCTGGTGCAGAGTCCTGTTGCCAGACTGAGGATCTTCCAGCAGCCAACCTCTTCACTCAAGACAGCACTACCTCATAAAAAGTACTTGATATAAGCTTCTGTGTCTATTATGAGGCACTCATCAACAAATTCAGGAGTTCTTTTCTTATGAGAACGATCAGAGTTTTCCGAGCTGTCGTATCTTCGTAATCACCATTAGACTCATTTAACTCTTTCCGAATCCTCTGCACTGTCCTCGGATTGACACCCAAACCCACTGAAATGTTCGTATTGGAGCTTGCGGTGTGAATGCCAACCAGTACAGTTTCTAAATTTCTGGCAGAGTGAATTGCGTCATGGTGCTCTTTTCCTCACAGACGGTGCCCAACTGACCCTACTATACTGTGCAATCGATGAAATCAAAAACAAACAACGCGCATGCGTGAAATGGAAAAATAAAATGATGAAGATTTGTTGTATTCACTCGATCTTTTCCTATTCTGTCTTCATATTTGATTCGGTCCGGTTTGTATTTTAACTTAGATGTCTGTATCTGTTTCCATTTGTAAATTTCTGTACTTCTCTCTTCGCAAATTACTCCTACCGATAATGGCCTCCTCCATGAAACTCGTGTGGTGTCTACTGGCTAGTGATCGCACACAAAGCAATGAGTCATCCAACGATCTGCTATTTCAAAGTGGCTGCTTCAATACTATTCAAAACTGCGCAAAGCCTGATGTCACCTCACTGAGGTGAGATACATTGAGATAATGGATATCTGGCGTGATACTGATGGAAGTCAAGTGGATATGTAAGGTGACACTGAGATCTATTGAACATTGAAAGCGACCTTGACTGTGATAAGCGACATGTTGAAAGCAGCACTGATTGAGATCTACTGGAAGGAGGAAATGAGCCTGATTGATATCAATTAGATATGTGAAATGAGCCTGATTGAGATCTACTGAATGTAGAAAGTAATCCTGATTGTGGTCCGTTGAGTGTAAGAAGTGACCTCGATTGAGATCAACTAGATATGGAAAATGAGCCTGATTGAGATCTTATCAATAGACAAAATTACCCTGATTGAAATCCACTAGACAATGACGATGATTGAGATCTGTGGGATATTAGAAAGGACCCTCATTGCGATCAACTGTATGTAGGAATTAACCCTAATTGGGATCGATGGGATAAAGAAGTGACGCTGATTGAGATATATTAGATATAGGAAATGATCCTGACTAAAACCAATTGAATATACAAAATGAACCTGACTGAGATGAATTAAATATGACGGGAAATGATGCTTTTTTTATATCTATTGGTTTCAGGAATTGGCCTTTATTGAAATCAACGGGATGTACAAAGTGACCCGGATTGAGATCAAATGGATGTAGAAAGAGACCCTGATTGAGATCGACTGCATTTAGGAGGTGAATCTGATTGAGATCAAATGGATGTAAAAAGTGACCCTGTTTGATATCAACTGGATGTAGAAAGTGGTCCTGTTTGAGATCAACTGAATGTAGAAAGTGATCCTGTTTGAGATCAACTGGATGTAGAAAGTGATCCTGTTTGAGATCAACTGGATGTAGAAAGTGACCCTGTTTGAGATCAACTGAATGTAAAAAGTGACCCTGTTTGATATCAACTGGATGTAGAAAGTGGCCCTATTTGAGATCAACTGGATGTAGAAAGTGGCCCTGTTTGAGATCAACTGAATGTAGAAAGGGACCCCGATTGAGATACACGCGATATTGGAAATGACACTGATTGAAATAAATTGCATATAGGAAACGCTCTCGATTGAATTTTTCCCCAGAATCACATACTGCTAGTCATGTTACCTGACTTACCTTCATAAGACTGTAACATTAATTTTAAATCGAGACGTGGTCTTCTGTGCCTTACCTTGCCATCTCAAGACGTGTAAAAACAATGCATCGTTTTATCGTGTGGAGCAACGATAGAGTTTCTGGGTTTAATAAAATAATTATAACGTTTTTAACTCTTATCAAGACATGTCCAGAATCTGAGTTATTGTCGTCTACAGTTATGGAAATGATTTAATCATTTCACCCTAAGAAAGGCAGTAAAGTTACTAAAACACAATGGCTTATTGTGTGTTAGTGAATATGATAGATTGATAACCTGATTTGTTTTTTTATGTCTTGTCAACCTATTGTGGGTAATTTAAAAGCAAAAAATATTTTTAAATTTTAAGAATTATTTTTGAGATAGTAATGTTTGTTTCTCATACAAGTTCTACTAATTAACCCATAGCTGGAAGGAGAAGAAGTGAATTCATACCTTTCCCGACTGGAATTGAAACTCTACTTTCCCACTTCCAATTCTGAATCATTAGCATTACACGATCTGCATATCCAAGCTTATAGCACCTGGCATTCTCAAATATTCACCCATCTAGGCTTTTGAATATCTACAGTGATCGTACGAGAATCGGTGTTTTAATGCAAATTAGAGTGAATATCAGAAAAGTAAAACATTATTAAGAAAAGAAGGACAATAAAAGAACAGGAAAGAGGATGTGCGAAAGAAGAAAATTTTTGAATAGAAATTACAATTATATCTTTTGCTATTTCAACTGTAAAATGATGAGACCTAACGGCCGATCTAGTATTAAATTCATAAAGTCTATGTACCAAAGAGGAAAGCTCATCAGTTTTATTATCATGAAAATATTTATAGAAAAAACACATTAAAGTGGTGCGAAAATGACTGAAGCCGAGATGTCACCTGAAAACTTTAGTTCGATAAGGTCCAATGATTCAGTCTCCTGGAGATTAGCATCTGCCATACGGATGGAAAAATGGATTCTCTCAAATAATTAAAAGAGTGCAGTTTCGTTTTTCCAAAGTTATGATTAACAATAATTCCTTTTCCCAGTTAATAACAGAATGTCGACTTAGTGACTGAAGCCGAGATGCCAGGTAATGACCAGTAACATTGCATATTCCTTATAATATCTCTAGATTCATTAAACACATGCCAGAAGCATCGGACCAGATGTGACGGCAATGTTCACTGCATGAGAGAATGGTAGACTTATAAATATGTAAAAGAGGTTCTGGTTTGGTTTGGTTTGTTTTACAGCATATCAAACTCAATAGATTATTTAATGCCGACAGGATTTTTATTACTGGTAGTATTTTTGTTCAAAAATATATTGTTGGTAATATTAATTCCAAAAATGTATAGCTGGTAATATTTTTTTTCTTCAAAAAAGTATTGCTAGTAATATATTTTCTTCAAAAATGTATTGCTGGTAATATTTTTTCCTCAAAAATGTAATGCTGGTAACAATTATTTACAAAAATACATTGCTGGTAATATATTTTTTCAAATATGTATTGCTGGTAATATTTATTTTCTTTATTGCTGGTAATAAATTTTCCTCAAAAAATTTATTGCTGGTATTAAAACCTATTTTTCACTTTTATATAGATTGAGGTTCAACTATTTGCCCATAGCTGGGACCCTAAGAGGTTCTACCACCCCGGGTCAAGGTGGACCTGGGAACATCAGCAATTAAGAGGTGGTTCCACGCTCCTGAAAACCTTCTGAGCAGAGGCCTTGATGTCGGATGTAGTTTATCGTCTTACCGAGGACGGATAGATTCTCTCGAGAAAAATTGTCTCGCGCTTAAGGTTTAGGTGCCAAAACGCGGGGGTGGTGGTCATCAGAAGAATTATCATAAAATATTTATAGAAAAGTCATGGGGGATCTACGTTACGGCGCTGGGAATGTTGTGCTGGAGATCATATGATCAATTAGAAATTAATTGAATCTGGACATAACGCTCAAATTCTCCCTTTTGACAACAATGGCGGAATCATAGATTGTACTCAACAGTGGTTAGCGTTTCGATATCTGATGGGATAATGTCAGAGGTCACGAGAATTAAACTTGTCAGCTTGACCGATTTGTCTTCGCAGGAAAACTTATCTACATCGCTTTCACTGGAAGCATCTGCAGCAAATTTATTAATCTTTTCACTTTTTCAAGTGTCGTTGTGGCAGATCTTGTAAAAGGTCAATTCCTGATTACGCCAAACAAGATGGAAGACAAACAAGATTCAAATCCGTTTAAGAATGTTTGACCTTTGTCCCCAAACCACATCCTGTTGAGAATGGAAACTTTTCATACACCCTTCAATGACAGCAAATTATTAATATTGTAGGACTATGTCTATTATTTTATATTATTTATTTATTCTATCGAGTTAGCTTGATCATTCATGAGTCTATCATGCCAAGCATACTTTCCCGATCACATCCAATATCTGTATAAATCTATCTCTGTTGTGTGTGGGTGGGGAAAAAGATAATTTGGTTTGGTTTGTTATTTTTTACGGCATATCACCCTCAATGGGTTATTTAATGCCGACAATATTTTGATTGCTGGTAATATATATTTTTTAAAAATATATGGCTGCTAATTTTTTTTTTTCAAAAATGTATTGCTGCTAATGTTATATTGCTGTAGCAATTTTTTCTTCGAAAAATTAATGACTGGTAATTTTTTTTACAAATATTTATTTCTGGTATTAAAACCTATTTTTTTAAACTTTCATAGTGTTTTGACTCCAGTTTGGTTTTTAACTATTTGCCCATACCTGAGACCTTAACAGTTGCTATTACCACGGAACATGGTGGACCTGTGAAACCAGCAATTAACAGTTGGTTTTACGCTCCTCAAAGCCTCCTGGTCAGAGGCCTTGCTGTTGGATGTAATTTATCGTCTTACCCAGGACACGGATGTAGTTTATCGTCATAGCCATAGATCTTATAAACGGTCAACTCCTGATTGCGGGAAAGAAGATGGAAGACAAACAAGATTTAAATGTGTTTAAGAATGTATGACCTTTGTCCCCAACCCACAACCTGTTGAGAAGGGAAACTTTTGAAACCCCCTTCAATGACAGCACAGTATTAATATTGTAGCACTATGTAGATTATTTGATATTAATTATTTATTTTGTCGAGTTAGCTGGAACACTAATGAGTCTCTTACGCCAACCATACTGTTCCGTTCCTATCTAATATCTGCACAAAGTTGTCTCTGCTGTTTTTGGAGACTAGCGAAAGATTTCACTCTACCCCAAACACCGGGAAGAAAAAAAATGAGAATAATAATAATAGAGAAAATCGCAAAAAAAATTTAATCTATCGCCACTTTTAGGTGGAATCTCGTCTCTTTCGTCTACTACTACTACTCCTTCCTGCCTCCACCACTCCTCCCTGCCCCCACCACTCCTCCCTGCTTCTACCACTCCTCCCTGCCCCTACCACTCCTCCCTTCCCCCACCACTCTTCCCTCCCACACCACTCCTCCTTGCTTCCAACACTCCTCCCTGCCCCCAACACTCCTCACTTCCCCACCACTCTTCACTCCCCACCTCCCTTCCCCCACCACTCTTCCCTGCCCCCAACACTGATCCCTCCCCACCACTCCTCCCTCCCCCCACTACTCATCCCTTTCCCCACCACTCCTTCCTGCCCCCACCACTCCCCTGCCTCTAACTTCTGAATATTTTTCCCAGCCATTACAAAAACACATGGACAAAACTGGCATTTACCAATATCTGCCAGAAATCTCT